CATTCCAGCCCCAGACTGGGCCTCGTCCTCCTACAATGGACTGGAAGTTTCCTGTGTTCATGCAACCTCCAACGGAGGAGGCTGAGCCAGCCAGCCCACCAGAACCAGAGACGAAGCCGGCTGAGCCCGACACATCCGATAAACGAGCAACTATGGAATGGACATTCCCCGTCATGACCGCTCCAGCAAATGATGGGGGCGCCAGTAGCGACAGCTTTACGGATACTAGCCAGTATGATACACTGAAGGCACCGATTGTGGAGAGTCAGCCTTCAGCCACAGTCCGGCGCTCTAGTATTGGTGAGCCCGGGGACTCCCGGCCATCTACGTCTCGATCCGGCGAGTCCAATGGATCTGAGACTGACTATGACCCCTTCCGCTTTGATCGACCTTCCACACCACCCAGCCAGGCGCCCGCGGACCCAAAAAGTCCTGAATATCCCCAGTTGCTGAATACGTTCAAGTATCCTAACTACGACCAGTCCATCATTATGGACGGCCCTGGTCCCGATGAAGAAGAGGAGACGGATGACGTGTGGCAGAAGCCTTCTGAGAACACGGACGATCCCTCTTTGTCTGAACCCTTCCCGACCGCAATCCCCACTAAAAGCATCGACCTCAGCCTCCCCTTCGTCCCGTCTGCTAGTTCCTCCGTATCGGACTCCTTGCCTACGGCTCGGACCAATTTTCCTTCGCTCACCACTGACGATGGAGAGCCGATCCTGTTCCCCGAGCTTCCTCTGCCTCAGCTTGAGCTCTTCATGGCTGGTGCGAACGACCACGCGATAGCTGGGGAGTTGGATCGACTGTTAGAAAGCTTCATTGACTCGTTGAATTCCACCGGACAGGCTTTATCTAGAGTCAATCTGGGTCCGGAGGTAAAAGAGGAGATCAAACCAGAGGCTGAGTAGGTGGTTAGTCTGTGGCTGGTTCCAGAAAAGAATATAGCGGACTGCTGGCGTCTCATGGGTTCTGACTGGTAAAAGCACTTGTCGTTGAGGGCTGTTGGGCATATTTCGGTGTTCGTGCTGGATGATACGGATGAGCAAAATGATGTAAATTGAATTTCTGCAGTCATAATGAAACCATAGTATCTGATGTATGCTGTCAGTTTGACAGCCTGTCGTAATGAATATTCAGCATTCACTACCGGTCAGGCCCAACTTTTGTATAGGAACCCACTGCAACAATATCTTATCAACAAACATAACAAGCACGATCAAGGCCTAAATAACTACTGTATAATCCCGACCCTCGTGGCTCGACACGAAACTCAACCTCGTCACGTCTGGACGTGACGCGCGTCATGAGGTGGATGCATCTCATTGCCATTTCTATATCCGTTTTCTAACTTCAAGTCAACGAAACCATCTCATCATCACTCTTGCCTCTTCAAAGCCTTTATCCCCATGACAAAATTACCAATTCCTAGCTAACAATCCTCGATCGTACGCCCACACAGACATACATACGTCAATCAAAATGACTACTCCATCAACTCCATCTCCATCTCCATCTCCATCTCCAACCTCCCACCCAACAACCACACCAAGAACCAAAACATCAGGAGCCACAGATTGGCCCCTCACCCTCCGCACAATCAAAAACCTCTACACCTCCCACCACTACCGTCAATGCATTGCCCACGCAGCAGAACATTTGTCTCTAACAGAGCAGCCGGTACAGTCAAAATTATTCTATCCTATCCTATCTCTATTCCTTAATTTTTCCTAACTACGAGACTATATATTGCTTTAAAATGGCTATGAGACCATGTGCTAACAAGATTCTCCAAATGATCGGATGATGTTTGTGTGGGTGTATAGATATACAAAACTTATCTCACATTCTACATGGCTGTTTCATATGAAGGAATGGGTCTCGCGGCCCATCAGTTCTCCGGTCAGAAAATGCCTCTTTTGCAGGCGGCTGTGGAGTGGTTTGGGGTTTGTGGGGGTGTTTTGGAGGAGGTGCAGGGTGGTTTGGATGGTGGCAGTGGGGTGCTGATGTGTGAGGAAGATGATGATCCGTTCGTGGAGTACCATCGTCCTGATTATGATCATGATGGGGAAGATGGTAGAAAATGGGATGAGGAAGAGGAAGAGATGCTGTTCTCGGGTGAGAGTGACAATAGCTTCGATTATACCAACACCACTATCTCGACGTATAGTGAGGCATCGTTTTTCGATGAAGGTGGAGAGGGAATTGAGGATGGGGATGAGCGTGGTCTTGTTCCTTCGCCGTTGAAGGTGCGGAAGGTGTCTGGGGAGTCGGTTGGAGGTAGTAGCTCTCTGCAGGGTTCCGAGGGTGAGGACCATGCTATGGGTGTGGCTAAGGCAGGAGTTGGGGTTTCGTTGCCATCGCCGTTGAGGATTGATGCTCCCACTACTTCTGCGTCTATCTATACAGGTTCCAAGGAGGAAGTTGGTTTACGAACCTGGCAATCAGTCAAGACACCAGGATACAAAGGCGAACTACACACCCACACAACAATCGATTTCCTCCGTCAGCAGGTCACCTCAAGCATTACCACGTTGCATAAAATGATCACGGACGTGGCTGAGATGCAGTATGCACGGCGCATGTCCAAGGGAATGCGACGCTCTGGATCTTTTTGGAGCTTTAGTCCGGTCAAAGAGAAGCAGATTTCTGGCTGTGATGCTGACGGGAAGGAAAAGTCTTCGTTTGGGGTCAAGGAGAGTACAGAGCAACGAATCGCGAGATTGCGAAGGGATGGATGGCAGACAGTGGGAATTCGGGGACAGAAGAGTGGATGGAAGGGGGAGGGGTATTATCGGGAGTATTGTGAGCGAGTGTTGGATGAATTGTATTTGGGAAGATCTTGAGATTGATACATGATGACCATGATGGTTTAGGGGTATTTGGTGTGAGTTATGGTTTATGATAGGATGTTTGTTAGTGTCATTATACCCATTATGGTAATACAGGTGCTTGCTCAATGAATTGGTTGAGCCTCCTTCAAGATGAAGTCGCAAGTCAGACAGCCTAATCAAGCCCACATAGTAAGTAATCAAGGAAACTAGCTACCTGGAATTTCCACGAGGCTAGCCAGCAAACCTGCATTCAGCCCGAGTGGAGAAGGACAGGAATCATCCGAAGAGAGCAGGCCGTCAGTCAGCCTGTCAGGGCTAGACGGTGATCCAATGAACCGGCGTCAATCCGGCTAAGCATCCCAGATGAGATTTTAGGCTACATCTCCGCGCCAATCCTTTAAAGGGGGCCAAAAACAAAAAATAGTTTAGTATCAGAAACTTGGCGGACATAGCCCCTTTTTTATACTGTGACCAATATGTCTCAGTTCGAAGAATCGGAGTGAAGAAAAAATAGTTGAAGCGAATACGACATTCTTAATTATGTTTTTGTTCAAGATGAGACCTTCGGTTTTCTTCTGAGGGTGTGGCTGGTGCCAAAGGCACAAAGCGCCAAAATAATTAGCTCCAGGGACTGATTATCGGCAATGTTTCAGCCTGGAGGAGAAAGGCGTGTGTCAGCATTGGCCCGCTGGCCGATTTCAGATTTGGGGGCCCCGTTTCACCCTAAGCCGCTTTTTATTCTAGATTCCCTCATTTTTCAGGGTGAAAACTCTACCAGAACATATCACTTGCATGAAATGTGATGGTCATGAATTCGTAGAAAAGCATCAGGCTGTGAAGTGAACAATGTGTCAATACCAGACGGATATCTAAACCCGAATTACACTGCATTATGTAGTAATTGAACACCAGACCTAACTAATTGTGACTATGGGACTACGTACTGCATCCATGGATCAGCCTAAGCCTACTAAAATGCGCTGCCTGGAGGAGCATCAGCCTTGCGTGGCCGCTCCATCACTCCGACCTCCACCATCCAATCCCTATAGATAGGATTTCCCTTCGAGATTGAGCCCCGCTGAGAAGAAACCCCCCCCCCCCCCCGTGGCTGTGCTGGGCAGCCATGGGATTAATGGGTTAAACTCTATCGCCGGGCCAGAACTTGACCTTTTTCTCGCTCTCTTTTCCCCCCTCCTTAACCAGATTTAATCGCTCGGCTCGCTAGTATTATTATTCCCTTTCTTCTTCTCTTCTGGTCAGTTCCAGCTGTCTATCAACTGTTTAGCTTCCTTCCTTTTTTTGTTCCTTTCCGACCGACAACAATAGCGCATTGCATTGCCTTGCTTTGCCTTGCCTGCCAGAGTCTTGCACGTGCAGCCATTACCATAAGCGATAAGCAGCGAACCCCCGATCAGGTACCGTGTGTTCTTAGTCTTTTTTTGCTACCCCCTATCGGTGGATGGAGGGATTTACCCACCATCAATCAGCCTTCCCCCCTCCCACCCTCCACACGGACACTGTCGCTGCTCGTGTACGGAAGTTAATCCCACCAAATACTTACTTCTTCCGTCTTCCTCCCCCAGATTTCTGTTTTTCAAACCTTCATCCTCGATTTCTCCAAACGCGACTTTCGCGATCTCGTCTTTTGAATCGCCCCGCTACCAACCTCCCTCACGTGCGGGGTTCCCATTCAGCTTCGCGCTCGCTGGTCTCGAGCCCACCGCACACTACTACTCACGGATTAACCCCCTTCCCTAGGGCCTTCACTAAGGCCCTTCTACTCCAGTCACCATGAGTTGTAGGTCTTTGCCTTTCTTCGTTTCTCTTTTCTTGTTTTTCTTTCGTCACCGATCAGCCATTCGTTCATTCCACGATGGCATACACTTTCATTAGCCCAGCTTGCCATTGACAGCCATTGATTGGTTTCTGTGCTATCGCGCCCGGAACGGCAGCCTCATGTCTTTCATGAGCCATGTCTTTGTCTCTCATTTCCACCATCACCTGGGGCCATTGCGTCCATGCAGGTGGCATTCTCATCCTGTTCTGGCTCTTCGGTTCGATCGTCCCATCACTACTTGCCCTGCCTGCACCCGTCTACCTCTCTGGTGGTTTTATTGAGCGGCTATACTGGTTCTCCCCATTCCTGCAACTTCCAAGCGCTGACCAATGGGTGATTTCACAGTCCATAATATGCTCAACAAGCTGTCGGGACAGCCCGAAAGCTACGAGAAAAAGTACGATAGGACCCTGCTTGCCTCTCCTTACATCTGCAGACATATAATAACCGCTGTGCAACTCGTTTCAGGTCCCACTACAAGTTCGGACGCACACTCGGCGCTGGTACGTACGGTATCGTTCGTGAGGCCGACAGCAGCAAGGGAAAGGTCGCCATCAAGATCATCCTGAAAAAGAATGTCCGGGGCAACGAACGCATGGTCTACGATGAACTAGAGATGCTTCAGGCTCTCGACCATCCCAACATTGTCCATTTCGTCGATTGGTTTGAATCGAAGGTCGGTTGCATCCAGGATACTCTAGACGTTCCCCTGTCTAATACTGTGGCAGGATAAATTCTACATTGTCACACAGCTGGCCACTGGTGGTGAGCTGTTCGACCGGATCTGCGAGTACGGCAAGTTCACCGAAAAGGATGCCTCTCAGACCATTCGCCAGGTGCTGGGCGCCGTCCACTACCTGCACGAACGCAATATCGTTCACCGAGGTATGTCCTATATATCGTCAATTGTTCACTTTCAAGGACTTGGACTAATCTTGGCATCCACTCTGACTAGACCTGAAACCCGAAAACCTTCTCTACCTTGGTCCCGACCCCCATTCCCCTCTGGTCCTCGCAGATTTCGGTATTGCCAAGATGCTGGATAGCCCGAGTGAGGTCCTGACCAGCATGGCGGGCTCCTTCGGCTACGCCGCCCCAGAGGTCATGCTCAAGCAGGGTCACGGCAAGGCCGTCGATATGTGGTCCCTCGGTGTGATCACCTACACCCTGCTTTGCGGTTATTCCCCCTTCCGCTCCGAGAACCTGTCCGACTTGATTGAAGAGTGCCGAAGCGGAAAGATCATCTTCCACGAGCGCTACTGGCGCGATGTTTCCCAGGACGCCAAGGACTTCATCCTCACCCTGTTGCAGCCCGATCCTTCCAAGCGTGTCACATCCGATGAGGCCTTGAAGCACACCTGGTTGACCGGTGAATCGGCCAGCGACCGCGACTTGCTGCCCGAGATCCGTGCCTACATTGCCCGCTCTCGTCTCCGCCGAGGTATCGAGATCATCAAGCTGGCGAACCGCATTGAGGCGCTCAAGATGCAGGAGGATGATGAGGACATCCCCAGCCCGGTGGAAATGGCAGAGAAGGCATCTGGCACGACGCCCTTCCCTCAACTCTCGCCCAATGGCAAGTCGGATTCCGCGCCAGCGGAGGGCGAGGCGACCGGCACGAAGAAGCGCAGTCTAAGCAAGATTGCCCGCGGCGCCATCTTCCGTGAAGTTGTGCTCGCCAAGGTTCGTGAGGTGAAGGAGAACGAGGAGCGCGAGAAGGTTGAGCGTGAAGCTCGTGAGCGGACCACCCATGCATGAGGCCTGATCGGATGGCGTTGATAGAGACTTGCTTTCTGCTGCTGCACCGGTTCCATTCTTGTTGGGTCACGGACCATCACTGAACTGTTTTCTGTGAATAACTTTCGATGATTCCCCGTCCATATACTGATCTGGCGTATTCTTTCTGCTGTTTCTTGGTTTGCTGAACGAGATGGGACTTTAATGGAGGCTTCGGTTTACGGAGATAATATTCCTTTCTGTGATCTGAATTCATATTCGGCTTGACATGATCTTCCAACTATATGTCGCATGTAGATGACTCGCATCGATGTAATTGCCTCCCAATAATGATGAACCAAGTAGAAACAACTCTAATCATGACCAAATCAGATGCCGGGATATCACGTGGGGGATGTCCCCAGCGTGATCGGTCCGGACCAATCAGGTGATGGGGTGCGGCCCCGTCAGCCACCGCCAGCAGATGATCGCCCGGAGATACCCTCGCGGCCCTCTTTTAAGTAACTTCCTGTCCCCTCTATTTCATGTTCCCCTCCTCAGTCTCTCTTCACTCAGGATTTTTTTTTCTCGGGCATTCACTACTACTAGATCCCTTAGCACTGTTACACTTCAGTCTATCACTGCGCCCGCCCCGTCCAACAACTCATCCGCCGTCTCGTCGATCGCCCCGCCCTAAGTTGTAGACGTCATACATCTGTGCGCCTCCACAATCTGACAATTCCTTCCCGACAAGGCTGGCCGACTATCACCCACCAGATCTTCCTTGAGCAGTCTCCAATAAACCGACTGTCACTTCTGCCTTGAAGAGGCGCTCTGCCCACCATGTTTGCCGGCAAGCGCCTGAGCAAGGTAAGTCATCATGCCACCTACCACCCCGCTCATCATCTCGACCATTGCATTTAACACAAATCTTACAGGAGCTCCTAAAGGTACCCTTCCCCAATACCTGCAACATTAACCCTACCAGATCGATCACAGCCACTATCGACACTCCAATGGCGCTACTCCCACACAGCTAACGCGCTTCCCCACCACTCCACAGATGAAAGACCACCTTCCCCCCGGGATCACAATCGTCAAGTCCGAAAACCTCGAGGAATGGCAAATGGACATCAAAGTCCTCGACTCCAACCCGCTCTACCAGAACGAGACGTACCGACTCAAATTCACCTTTAGCAATAAGTACCCAATCGGTATTGTTACCCCCCCCCCCCCCCCACAATTACAATTTTCTCCCACAGTCCCTCGAATCATAAACAAACAAACTAACGCATTCCATTTTCAAAATTGTCAATAGAACCCCCCGAAGTCCAATTCATCGAATGCCCACCCACCTCCGACCACCCCCGCCCGATCCCCATCCACCCACACATCTACAGCAACGGCATAATATGTCTCGATCTGCTCAGCTCGGCAGGCTGGTCACCCGTACAGACGGTCGAGAGCGTCTGCATGAGTATTCAGAGCATGTTGACCGCTAATTCGCGCAATGAGCGACCTCCCGGTGATAGTGACTTTGTGTCGTATAATCGGAGGAGACCGAGGGATATTAATTTTCATTATGATGATGATAATGTATAATATTTCAGGGCACTGGGGGGGTGAAATTATTGGTGGTGGTTGTTGCATTGATATTGGCGCGTGATCTTGATCTTCCATTTTCATTTTACATCATATTCAAGTTCCTCTTTTGATTCGCTATTTGCTTTGTTTTGCTTGCTTGATGCTTATCAAGGCGAACAAGGTGTTCAACTGGATTTCGGATGGAGCGTTGGTATTATGCATGAAATGCATTTACGCGTGGGATTTATTCTTTCTTGTTTACTCTTTTTCTCTTTACACAGTTACATCTCCTGTCTTATATATTACAACATACATGCATATACATATTTCGCTACACACTCTCTTCGGTACACAGACAACTGAAAATTGACCCTATGGTTACATCTAAAATTGTCACGTTTACTTCCCATAAACTACTACTTCTACTACTGCACCAAATCCAAAATCATACTCGATGTTTTGAGTCACTATACACAGGGTTTATGGAAGAGAGAACAAGGAGGAAAGAAAAAAAAGGGGGAGGACAGACACAGTCGACGGAAGCAACATCAGCGACACAGATACAAAGGAAAAAGTTCAACGCCATAAAGCAAAGTAACAAGCAAAAGGACATTGGTACAGCAGGTTGAACCTGGTTTTTGGGGAGATCGCCATAGCCCAAAGGTGGACCTGTTACACAAACTCGCACACAAGCCGAATGTGATGGTAATAGTAGAGACAATTAATCTTTCTCTTGGTATATCTGCAACTTCTAATCGAGATTTTGGCACCAATAAATCAGGGTCATGTGTCTTTGAGCTGTTATACAGGTCTTCGTTGGAGATCAGACGGTCCTATCCTTTTCTACCGGTCAACCTCACCGAACACAAGATCCATCGTTCCTAAAAATAAATGTATTAGTTTGTTGTTGATATGGTCAAGGCACTTTGGGTATAGCTTACCGATAATAGCGACAGCATCGGCCAGAAGGTGGCCGCGAGACACTTGGTCGAAACCACCCAAGTGAGCAAATCCAGGAGCACGGATCTTGCAGCGGTAGGGTCTCTCGCTACCGTCACTGACAAGGAACACACCCATCTCACCCTTGGGAGCCTCAATGGCGGAGTAGGTCTCACCCGGGGGAACGGCGTAACCCTTGGTGAACAGAAGGAAGTGGTGGATCAGAGCCTCCATGTTCTCCTTCATGGCCGCACGGGGAGGGGGGGAGATCTTGTAGTCCTCAACACGGACGGGACCAGCGGGCATCTGGTTCAGGCACTGGTGGATGATGCGCAGGGACTGGCGGAATTCCTCCATACGGCAGAGGTAACGGTCGTAGCAGTCACCGTTGACACCGACGGGCACGTCGAACTCAACCTGGTCGTAGGCATCATAGGGCTGGGACTTACGGATATCCCAGGGGACACCGGAACCACGCAGCATGACACCGGTGAAACTCATGTTGAGAGCATCGGCAGCCTTGACAACACCAACACCCTGGGTTCTGGCCTTCCAGATACGGTTATCCGTGAGCAGTTCCTCGGTCTCGTCAATGCGGTCACCGAACTGAGTAGCCCACTGGTAGATATCGTCGAGGAGACCAAGGGGCAGATCTTGGGACACACCACCAGGGCGGACGTAGGCAGCGTGGAGACGGGCACCGGAGACACGCTCGTAGAATTCCTAAATTCAAGGACTCATGTCAGTCATTGCGGCTAGCACACAGCTCAGTATGCCAGAAAACACCTACCATAAGCTTCTCACGTTCCTCGAAACCCCACAGGAAAGGTGTCAGAGCACCAACATCCATCGCGTGGGAAAGAACGGACATGAGGTGGTTCAGAATGCGTGTCATCTCACCGAACAGTGTCCGGATGTACTTGGCTCTTTCGGGGATCTCAACGTTCAGCAGCTTCTCAACAGCCAGGGAGAAGCACTGCTCGTTGGTCATCATGGAGACGTAATCCAATCGGTCGAAGTATGGCAGGGCTTGCATGTAGGACTTGTATTCGATCAACTTCTCGGTACCACGGTGAAGCAGACCGACGTGGGGATCGGCGCGGACGATCTCTTCACCATTGAGCTCCAGAATCAAACGCAACACACCGTGAGCGGCAGGGTGCTGAGGACCGAAGTTGACGGTGTAGTGGCGGATCTTGCGGCCGGCTCCAGAGTCCTCGGACTCGAGGGCGGCGCCCACATCAGCCTCCGAAGGGCCCTCCTTGTTGGCCAGAGATGTGAAGGTCGGGTCAGCCGGGATGAGGCGGGTGGCCTGGTAGCTGGTGGGTTCTGCGTACCGGCGAGGCAGCGACGTCGAAATCGTCCGGGATCTGGGGATAGCAGTGTTTCTGGAGAAGCTCGAGGGGCGGAGGCAGAGCCTTTTGGGCGCGCTGCCCGCCAGGCGAGTGAAGGAAGCAGCCATTCGGGAGAGCGGGGAGTGAGGACGAGGGTGAAGCGAGGCGGAGAGCCCTCAATCCAGACGCAATTGGGTTGGAAGGAGGGGGAATTGGCGGGAATTGGAAGCGATGCGGACTGACGCTTGCTCCTCGTTGGATGAGGTTGCGCTTTCCAGGCGAGATACAATTTGGGCAGTCACGTGAGAGGAGCTTATGGTCATCAGCCCGTCTCTGGTTGGTCTGCCGTTAGCCACTTAAAACTCCCGCTCCTAGTGCCGATTTCCCTCAAACTGCTGGGTGTGTTATAATCACCGGTCTCTCCGCCTTTGCGGTCTGCAGAATTGCGAGAAAATACTGCCGCTTCCGCCAAAGAACTTTTCGCAGTTGCTCCCTCCACTTCGTCTGTCCCTCTTCCTCCTCCAAATTTCCCCGCGGCTTCTAAGTCCATCATTCATCATGGCGCCTCTCGTTCCCTCGCAGGAGGAGTTTGATCGCAGAAGGGTATGTTCCGTCTTCCGACCGTGATCTCTTGTCCCTACTTCGTCCATCATACTGACTGCATTGACTCCCAGATCGTCGACATCAACCCAGAGACCGTCTCCAACATCCCCTCCACAGATTTCCCTGGCCATTGGCCCGGCGAGTCGCACGAATGGTCCCTCGAAAAGTTCAAGAATGTACGTTGGTAGTACTCAAGTGTTCGCGCTCACAATGCCACTTCTCCACACAAGTCCCATCAGCTTTGCGCTCACACGTCCTTTTTTTCGCGAACAGGATCTCAAGATCGACTTCCACCGCAACGAGCGTTTCGAATCCTCCTTCTCTCTCATCGGAGTCGACGCCTCCATTGCCAATGCCTTCCGTCGTATTCTCATGGCCGAGGTGCCCAGCATCGCCATTGAATACGTTTTCGTCCACAACAACACCTCTGTCATCCAGGATGAGGTTCTCGCACAACGTCTGGGTCTGATTCCCCTCAAGGGTTCCGTGGAGGGCATCAACTGGATGCGCTGGTTCAAGAAGCCCACCGACGACGATCCCAATGGCAGCAACCCCGCCGACTACAACACCATCGTCTTGCGCTTGGACGTCGAATGTACCAAGAACCCCAACGCGGACCCGGAGGAAGATGATCCCCGCAAGCTCTACAAGAATGCGCACGTCTACGCCAAAGATATCACATTCCACCCCGTCGGTCGCCAGGAACAATTCTTTGCTGGCGATGACGCAATCCAGCCCGTCAACCCGGACATCCTGGTCGCCAAGCTCCGTCCTGGTCAGTCGATCGAGATGGAACTTCACTGTATCAAGGGTATCGGTGCCGACCATGCCAAGTTCTCCCCCGTCGCCACGGCCACCTACCGTCTACTCCCCGACATCAAGATCCTTCGCCCCATCATTGGAGACGATGCCAAGAAATTCGCCAAGTGCTTCCCCAGCGGTGTTATTGGCCTCGAGAAGGTCACTCGTGAGGAAGCCAAGCAGAAGGAGAGCGGATATGAGGGCCACGAGGGCGAATTGAAGGCAGTTGTTGTGGATCCTTTCAAGGATACTGTCAGCAGAGAGTGTCTGAGACACGAGGAGTTCCAGGGCAAGGTCAAGCTCGGTCGCGTCCGCGACCACTTCATCTTCAACATCGAGAGTGTTGGCCAGTTCGAAAGTGATACCCTCTTCCTGGAGAGTGTCAAGGTCTTGAAGCTCAAATGCGCAAGATGGAAGCGTGGCTTGACGGACCTTATGCGCTAAGTCAAAGCCATTTGACTCAGCCTTCCGTGAAAAATGATTCAAAGCTATATAATGCATTGGCCTGGCGTTGGATTGTCTTGTTGATTTTGTACATTTACGAAAAGTTGGTGACAACCATCTTTACACTTGTTGGGAGTCTGGACTGGGATCTTTTTGTGATAGAAAAAGCAGATTTGACTTCCTAGGTCTTGAACATGATCATCAGAGCATCAGCGATTCTTCGTAACGTGTAGTTGCCGGTCCATCACAGCGGCCCTTCGTCTATTGAAACGCCAGTCGGAAGCGGAAATCGATGATATACGCCGGGTCACTGACTGCGATTTCCTGGCCGTCCTCAATCAAGTCCTTCAGCTTAAGCTTCAGATTAGCGCGAGTCTGTTCCTCCAATTGCGGCGGGAACCGTTGGTAGAGTGTCTTCTCCTCCGTCCTCATACTGGGCTTCTTCAGCTGAGCCTCAGGCCGTTCTCCAAGGGTCTCGATGAATTCCTCAAGCGTCATATTCGGATTCACGGTCAATTTGCGTGCCAGATTTCCGCACACCGGGCAGTCTGGCTTCTTCTCTGCCTCAAATGTGTACGTGTACACGCCCTCTTCTCCTGCATACATCATATAGTTCTCAAGATACGGGTTGCACGATGTGGCAATCTTCAATGCCTCGGAGGTAGTTGCGGCTGCGATCACAGCATTGGTTGAGGCAATAGCCGGGATGATGTTCTTGACTACTCCCTGAGTCATCTGGAACGTGACGCCGGAGATATTGAACTGCTTCGCCCGCTCCAGAGCAGCATTGTTGACCCAGCCAATGTGCTCCATGTCGTCACTATCGAATGCATCATCTTTGCGCTGTTCCTGCCAGGCAATCTGATGAGCCCATTCGATGCAGTGTTGAGGCTGGCGCGGAATGGTTGCGATGGTACAAAGAGGAACAGCCGGTCGCGGCGCGTGCATGTCAAGCTGACACTCGATACAAGAGGAAAGCGTGGGCAAAATCACACGCGCCTGTCCCTTGAATCCTGTTATCGGTCAGTTGCGCTTTATTCTGCAGTCGGCGTGAGTGAGCAAACATACCTTCTGTTCCACCATCTATAAGTGGCTTCAAACTTTCTGGATCCTCGAAATCGACCATTCCGACCAGAGTCGAGTTAATCCATCGTCTGGCTTCAATGCTATCGAGACCGCAGACGATGATCTTGAATTGCATGTAGTAATCTTCGTCTTTGTCTTGGATCTTCCCTACATAAGGTGTGATCTTAACCCCCTTGACTCGTCTTTCTACAAAGGCAGCAGCAACCTCAGCTTTGGGCTTGCCTATGTCTGACTGGCGAAATAGAAATTGTCTGTTCAGGTTGGAAATATCGATCGTATCTGCACATGTTGGTCATTTGCAGTGTTTACAAGTTAGGACAAACTTACCCATGTCAATGACGTGGATGTCTTTGAAGCCTGACAGAGCCAGGTTTTTGAGGATCTCACATCCTAGGCCGCCAGCGCCTCTGTAAGCAGTTCTTGGTTATTATCCATGTATTTCCAAGGGAGTAAGAATCGCCTTGACTTACATGACCCTGTAGTACTGTTAGCGAGCACGAGATTATCAACACGACCAGACACGTACAGAATTTTGGATGACTCCAAAGCACTTATCGTCTCTGGTCCAGGGACCCAATCTTCATCGCTGAAGGGTCCAGACTTAGTGAGGACGCTGTATAGATGCTTCCTAGGTGATATGAGCAGCTGCGGCTATGGAGTGAAGAAGTCATCTCACCATCGCTGAGGCGAACTTGTAGCAGCCATTTTCCAATTATGTTGTCTAGGGTAGCCAGGTCGCTAATTATTTGCGTCTACTCAAGCTCTTGTTGCATAAGCAAGTGATCTCTTGCCTCTGAGCCGCACTTATTGTGAGCTCCTGCGCCAGCTTAGATAATCTGGCGTCCAAGGTATAAGCAGAATAATAGCTTCACAGCCAAGAGCTACGTTGCTATAGATTCCGGGTTATCAGATTGTAGACAGCGTGGAGGTGATGATGGGTTGATGAGGATGGTGAGTCTCGAATGGTCGTTAGATCGATACAAGCACCGCCCCACGTGACCCCTCCGCGCCATACAATTTCCTCCAACTTCCAGAACTTGGTCCTCCTTTCCTCGCAACTATTACGAGGATAATGCCACATTTGTAAAATGGATGGTCTACTTACGGCCGTTAAGACGGTCAAGCACAGCCAGCAGCCCATCTTGTCGGCTGCTGCCGAGGGAATATATTCAACCACCACATCTAACGGCTCTGAGCACCGGTCCAAAGCCGATCTCCCCGGGGACCCAACATCCTCAGATCATATCTTGGCCGTCTTGAAGGCAAACCCCGACGAGCACGATCTTGCTCAAGTTCTAGCCATACTAGATCCATCAAATAAGACAGCAAGTCCAAACGGTTTTGAAATCCGCGTTCCGCGCCCAGTAACAGCGCAAATTCTCAATGCTCTGGTTAGCATTACAATCCCGGATCATTGGGAGGCTCTTGGGCCACAATCACAGATTTCAAAGTCTGGTAATACAAAGCTGCGAGCTGCTCTTCTGAGATGTCTGAGCAGTGTTGCGGGTATCAGTTGCTTGGTGACCCAGCTCCGTTCTCTCATAGCTGCGTCCCGATCATCGGCTGAGCAGGCGAAATCATCCGGTCATAAGATACAGATTAGAGATACACTTGCGGTTATTTCCGCGTTGTTGGAGCCGAGCGACTTTGCGTTTCGCCTATACGCTGACATGGATAATCTGTACAGCAATGCGACACAGAAGCAAGTGGCTTGGAGGGAGTTACTCTCGGTGCTTGCTGCCAGTAAAGTATTGTCTACAGCAGCAGAAGCACTTACTCTGATCTCTGAGCTTGACGGGATTTTTACAATCTCATGGATAGGGGAAGGCTCAAAATACGCTACCTGGCTAGGTTCAAATATCTGCTATATGGCGTCGAAGACTGCTCTCAGTGATGAAGAGGCTTTGAAATCCGTGGCTCTTTTGACTGGGAGGTCGCTAAGCTTGGGTTATACAGGTATTTGAGAAAGCCCTTTACTGATAGGCTTGGTAGGCTAAGCATGATACAGATCAGGTTGTCAAAGAGATCTATACCGGACTTCTTGTTCAGCGACCACTTTCCGAACAGTACAGCTCGCTTTTTGACCGTCTCCGGCCAACGGAACAACTAGCATTGCTCGAGGCTGTCTTTCGGGATCTTGAGAAAAAGCAGTTCTCAGGTGAAATACCTGGTGACAGTGCCAGCAACACCTCGGGACAAGCGGTCAGTAGCGTAGCAGCTCTCTGCTCAATTGCCGTGTCAAAACGGTCACATCTGCAAGGTCAGATCATCGATTGGCTGTCAAAAGGCCAAGGCGGTTCGATCCATTCGCTTGGGTTGCGCCGTGCTCTAGTGGCTGCATTAGCACAGGAAGAAGGTAGGAGTAAGCCCTCTTGACAATGTTTTTCTAGCTGACATGGATCACATTAGACTCGATCAATACCCTTCTTAGTAAAAGTCTAGATCAATCAGGTGACAAGTTCTACATTCAACACGCTCCTATTAGGTGTCAAGAAGGTACTGTATCAATGTGTTCTGTATAGCAGAAAGGCACTAACATATATCAGCCAATGCTCAAGTTGTTCTTCTCGCTGCGGGCTACCTCCAGCGGCTCGATGCTGCAGCAATGATGTTTATTGGACGCACCGGACTCTTCCTGAATACCGTCTCAAACCGCCTAGCAGCGTCTTCGCCCAGAGCGCGCTTTCTCGGTATGCTGATTGGAACTACTATCTCGCAGCTCATCGAGCAGCAAGGTAAAGGGATGAGGTTTGATCTTGAAGAGATGGAAAGTGATGAGGCACATTGGTACTTGGACCTTGCCAAACTACACGATTCCGTTGGGTCTATTGAATCCATTGAATCGCTGAGAGGGCCTCCAGCGACAACTGAGAAGGATACCAAAAGCCGAACTTCTAGGACCAATATGCCAAAGAAAGACACCAGAAGAGCAAAGATCGTTGCCATAGAAGAGGTCAATGACTCGGATCAAGAGGAGGAAGAAGATGAAGATCTCATCCCATATGAAAAGCCTGATGAAGATCCATCAGGTTCTGATGATGACCCAACCTTGGTCCAACGCAACAAACCTACCGCACCAGTGTATGTGACAAAACGAACCGTAACACATATGGCCACTAACCATGAGTTAGGTACATCCGCGACCTTATTACCTACCTACGCGACACCGAGAACGTAGAGCGCTACGAACTGGCTGTTTCCACAGCCCCTTCTCTGATCCGACGCAAGACTGGCTTTGGAACAGAGCTTACTGAGAACATAGAAGAATTGGCACTCGTTGTCGTGGGCTTACAGGAGCATGGAAAGATTCCCAGATTCCAGGAAGTCCAACTTCAAAGCATGATCGCACTGATCGTATCTCAACCTCTCAAGATGGGCCACTGGTTCTCGGCCATTTTCTTCGATGGGGACCTGTCTCAACCACAGCGCTCTACGATCCTCACAGCTCTAGGCTTGAGTGCTCGCGAACTCGGCGGAAATGGCGAAGCAGACGCTAAATCACTAGGTCTTCCACGCGTATCCTACTCTTCGTTCCCGTCCAAAAAGCTCCCTGGTAACCTCGAAGCTCTGTATCAGCCTGAGGCCGAATCGCCAATCGCAAAGCTAACCAAGCAATTATCACGCGCCTCACTCGAACCACTAGCCGCCGATGCCTCAGAATCCCTGTCTGGGCCCAATGCACTCAAGGTCCGCACATTCTCCTCCCGAATGGAAGTCGAAAAGAAACGTCAGCAACGCGAAGCGCAACGGCAGAAGTCCACCGCAAAAGATCTATACAGAGTCCTTGCAGATGGGTTCTTCTACCCTCTGAAGGGTCGTTTCGAGATGATGATCATGCAGTTTTCATCGTATGTTCTCCTTCCTCCCCAAGTTTCCCACAAGTCATCCTCACTAACAAACTAGTTCCACCGCTCCCTCCTACAACCCCTTCTACGCCCCCCATCTCCTCAGTCTCTTCATCCAAACACTCACACTCATCCTCTCAACAATGGGCCCTCACACGCCCCATCTCGCAGCTGTCACACACGAAACATTGACGTTCCTGCTCTCGCTCCACGCTCGCCCCATATCAGACGATCCCGGCATCTTGTCCTCCCTTCTATCCCTCTTCCTCGCAGCTGTAGACTTGAACGTCGCCTCCGGGACATCCGGAGAAGAGCGCCTGGTCACTGAATTCGCCACGCAAGTCATGGAGCTGCGTGAATGGGTAGGAGAGATATTTGACAGAACGCCATCGGTCCAAGATACAAGCGATCCGCGAGAACAGGTGCGGACATTGGCCGCAGGTGTCATGGTGAAACTGGGAGAGGTGATAGAGCGATACCAGGGACGGCTGATGGGTGTGAATTCCGGGTTCAGGTACTAATTGTAAATAAATAATGCCCAAAGTATCATAGAACAGTCACAATACTACACCATAACCACATTTCTTCGACCAGTATGGGGCAAAGATTCATCTGAATGGCATCTCAACCACTTCGATCAATCAAGTCCCTACTTCAACTCACAGTTGGTGACTAGTCATGAGTTAGGCCATCCTTCTTGCGCGCCTGCAAAAGCATCACGAAGATGACCTTCATATACCGCTTTATCTTGCATCTTCCCATCCAGAAATCCTTGTACATCCGGAGTCCAATATGGCGAGATAGTCCGTTCAAACTCCACCATCTTAGCGTCATCCACTTTCAAGAATCTTGGTTGTATGTGATCCAGGAAAATATTGTATAATCCCTTGGGAGTTTCAAGGGCATGGAAGTACCAGAAGTTTCCAATTCCCCAGCCTTTTTTCATGATACTTGTCAAGTTCGAGGTCCTAGTTCCCGCCGCTCCAGCATAAACCTGTTCCTCCTGCTCAAAGATATGCATAAATTCAGCATGAATACCGCTGAAGGCATCCAGGTGTTCTCCGTAGATCTGGTCCACCCCACGACTAGTGAGCCAGTATGGTGGTCGGAGCATCTCAACTGGTAATGGGAGCATGTCCACTCTAGATCTACGAGTGACTTGATATTCCAGTCTGTGTCGACGAAGATGTTGCTTTGGTGTAGATCCGTTAAGGTCATGATGAACGGTCCACGTCGATAATCGCGGCAGGTGAAATGTGGTAGCAGAGCTCGCATAATGGTCAGGGCTGACAGCTGTGCTTCACCGTCGGCTTTGTCTCGTACAGAATTTGGGGCGCGGCGCAACCGGCTGTCGTGGCAGGAGAGTAAGTCCATGTAATAGCTATCGCATGTTGAATATGTGAGGTCTCTACCTATGTTGGTGGGTATGGACTCGTTTTCTAGCTGATGAAGGCGAAGTGTTAGAGGGCGGTTGGTGAGCTTTATATTCCCTTGGTTGTTCATTGTTAGAGATCCGATGCAATTGAAAGGGGACTGCGCTAATGATAGGATGATTCGACTCAGCCCGCGGAAAAGGTTGGTTCTGCGTTTGTGGTCGTGGCGTAACTTGTGCCAAGATTCAGAAAGCATCACAGTATCAGTGCTTCCGACATATTCTATGAGGAAATATCCGGTTGTTAAGTTGAAAGGAGAATGTCGACTTAAGTAAGGTGGTCGAACCGGATATCCCAAGACAGACGATACCATATTATGGAAATACCACCTAATTCTGCTGAAGACGTTGGCGTGCTCAATCGCGGTGAACTAGGGTCAGTGTTAGCCTGGCCCATGTGTTAAGTTAGCAGCTCTCTTACACATGAGTCATGCGCAAAGGCGAAACCCCACAATCGAGGTATAGGTAGAGAAGGACAGTTCTGCCGGATCCAAATATAAGTGGCAGCCTCGCAGCGGAGCTTCTCGTCTGCATTGCCTGGGTGTTGACCCTCTCCCACTTTGTAGGGCAAAGGAAATCTAATGAGGACTCGTCCAGGTGCATGGTCTTCTTGCCCATAGATGTCAACTGGTATGCACACGTTGAAACTCCCGGATATCCACTCTTTGACATCCCCCACACGGCACGTCTGCTTTTTGCTCAGGTGATATGACACAATCGACTCAATTACGCTTCGTTGTTGATAAAGGTATACGTAGAAGTCGACTCGCTGTTTGGGATAAGAGAGTTCTTGGAGTATATTGTCGTCGTCATCTATGGCCGTGGAGAGACTGATATCCCGGCGGAGAAGCGGCAATGTACGCTGCATGCTGGCTGAGTGGTGGGTTAGGAAGGAACGTCAGTATTGCTATCATATTATATAGAAGATTCAATCCCACGGATACATATACCCATGGTTGGCCTTGTTCCCACAACTGGGTGGAGTGAGTGGAGTTGGAAGGGGCACTGAAGAGGGAGATGAGGAGCAGGTCAACTTGACTAGACCGCTAGTCCACTTTGGGGCGCATACACCCAATATATTGTATTGTTTACTTCTAAATATCCGGCATATAATACCAGGATACGATGCCAGGCAAGCTAAATGCGTGGCCTACAGAAGACTATACTGTTGTAAAGCGAAAACGCTGAAGTCCTACCGGTACGGCTCCTTATAGGTGAACTTTCGCACGGCTACTTGCATATACAGCGATATCTCCAATTCCTTGCCTGATTTGTTACGCACAGCGTAGACTCTATGTCGGGCACCGCTAAAAGCCTGGCCTCGAAGACTCTGAAGCATTACCTACAAAATCCCGGGTAATCATATAATGTAGGTCTCATATCATCAATCGCTAACATTAAGTCTTAACTACCCTTCACTCCAACTTCGCAAAACTCCCCTTCTCGATCGCCGCATCCATCATTCGATCACCATTAATAAGGCTCGTCGTACAAATCACAATCTTCCGCCTGGGAGCTTCCTGCGCCGCAATGAACCTCAACGCTGCAATTTCTGTGAACGTTATTCCACCCAAAAAGAAAACATAAACGGTCTTGATCGCATTATTCCCACTGATTGTCTGCCGCGCCCTGATGGCCTTGTCGTCACCCTTCTGTACAATGCTAAACGTAGCCCCACGAGCACTCTTCACTACGTCCTCGAAACCAAGCCATCCTGGGGACGAGGCGCTTGCAGGGCTAGGTGTTGCAGCAGTGACAGCTCCGCCTCTGACAAGAGAAAGAATGTAAGGTTTCTGCAGAACACATTGAACAAGACGGATGCTGAGAGGGGCGAACCCGCTATAGACGTACGCAACGTCATTAGGGTCCTTTTCGCTGACCTCTTCAACGACCAGTCGGAGGTTCTTGCGGAGGTAGCCATAGTTGGTCTTAGTGCCTGTCTGGGCGCCAGCGGTAGGGAGGAGCATGGTGGTGGCGGAAGAACGAGGCTGAAGAAGTTCCATTTTTTCGAGAGCCCAGAAAGTAAGAAGGTGTTGATGGCCGTAGGCTTGGATGATTTGACGTTTGAAATTTTCGAGGTCGCGGGGGCGGAGACCACCGGACATGCACGATTCAAGACAGAGCAGACGGAGAATGGTCTTCAGAGGAACATCGCGAGCGATTAGCTCCTCAACGGCGTCGTGATGGTATGTAGCGTCGGCGCCCGCGGCGTTGTTTTGTTGGACTTCGAGAATCTTGCGGAAGATATCTGAGCGAGTGGTTCTCATGATTTCTTCGGCAAGGTTGGTATGGACTCGGAGACTTTGATGTTCCAGTTGATAGGTGGGAAGTTTGTTGACGAACTCGCGAAGTTCGGAGGTAGTTTTGGCGGCATGTCGGCTTTCATAGTCGCTTTCCAAACGGCGTGCAACCTTGTTCAATATGTCACCTACGATAGCGAAGTTGGCGTCACGCAGCTGGCTGAAGAGTTGGTCGGAGGAGTCCAGTTGGACTTTCCGCTTTTGTCCTTGTTTTGAGGACTGCTGGGGTGCTTTAGAAGACTCCTGAGCCTGAGGCACTGCCGTAGGCCCGACGATAGAGGTGTCCACATCTGCTTGGTTATTCTTGATGCCCACTGTCTCATCGATCAATCCTTCGTAGGTCAATTGTGTCAGTAGCGCAGACCCAAAGTCGACTTCGCGATCGATGATGATGAGGCTTTCAGTGCTTGCGCTAGGAAGAAGGCCTCTGGCAGAGACTCCAGCAAGACCCGAGCTCTCTTCAGCATCAAGCTCCTTTCTCATCCGCAGTAGGAGGTCTGCAAGGCGTCGGGCATGGTCACCCTTGCCAATGATACGAGGGAAGTAGCCATGTCTTTGCTGGATGTCCATGAGGGCTTTTGCGGAGTGGAAGATACATGCCGGATCCTTGTGCTGTGTGCCACTAGGTGTTAACAGTGTTTGGAACAGGAAGTTGTGCTCTTCCTTACCAGGTACAAGTCGCCAAAAGAGTCTTCTAGCTCCAGGGACAGCACATCTTGCTCCAAAGGGGCGAAGTACAGTGGGAATTCGGCAATATTCACATCGCCTATAATGCCGGCTTCTTCAAGGATGGAATTGCTTACAAGGGTCCGCCTCGGAACCCAGAATATGGAGAGTTCATGTTCAACATTGCCGTTGCGCTGAAGACGCTGAATCTGTTCTAGAGGAATGTTAGCTCATACTGATGGCATTCAATCGGGCATGACTTGGAAGAAGGCCTTGAGATGAACTGTATACAAATCTCTCTATGTTGGGATCTCTTGACTGACTACGTAGAGTGGAAGATAGATCTGCGTAATCTACTGTTTGTCCTGAAGAGATATAGAGGCATAGCTTCGCCAATGATCGCATGACGAGGCACAGGATAGAGAGGATTTACAATGGGAGAAGGCGACGAGGTGGTGATCCGGAAGAAATGGACATACCTGCCACGGCCCGCACCTGGCGTATCTTTTCCGCGTGGACTAGAAAGACGACGTTGCGCTGAGAGGAGTCCACGTTGCCATTCTCGAGCAGGAACACGCGATCTACACCGTATTCCTGGAGCAGCGAGAACTTGACGAACAGCCCGACTGGACCAGCCAGATCCTGACTGACGACAAGGTTTTTCTTACCACGTACCTGCACCAAGAAATTCAGCCCATGCACAAAGGCGAGGAGGATTGCTGCTGCCTTGAGGGACACGTTGGAGGCTTACTCACGCCTTCAAGGAGAGTTAACAAATCCCTACGCGCCTTGTCCCTAAAATAGTCTGCATCAGACCCTGGATACGGCGCCATGGCTGCGGTGAAGCATGCTCCGGCGATGTGATTGGGAGGGGGGAAAGGGAAGATTGAAGGGAAGAAGACGGAGGGAGGAGAGGAAAGGCGGAAGCAAAACGAAGGCAACCACCAACTCAAAGTAGGAAAGTTTGCACGTTTGCAGCCACTGGTTCGTGGCTGCGAAAAGGGTCCAGCCACCCCACTAGCCTTTTAGGGATTAGTGCGTGCACTGCCTGTCATATTGATGGTTCTGATACCGTCATTACTCTCACAGCTACCCATTTCATCTTTCTAATATGATGTATCAGAATTACCCTCCGCCTTGGGTCTCGACCCTCCATCCAATAATGCCTAAGGAGGCGTTTCCTGACGGCTGCTGCTCCCCTGACCAACTGGAGTTATTATTATCGTTGGTTTCACATCTTTTGCGCTGGTCCCTCTCTGATCCCCTTTTCTACCTCCATCTGTCCTCTTCTCAGATTCTATCCTCTCGCTCACCGGATTAATCGCTACTAGCATATCCTTGACCTTCTCTCACCCTCACAGCCGACTACTAATCTCTTTCGCATTCCACGCCATGGGCCGATTCGGTTTCAAAAAGTCCGGGGACGACGAGGAGGATTCCGGCAACCGTCTGGCACTTTTCGGCTCCAGATCGAAGAGCAAGAGCCCTGCGCCGCCTGCCAACCCCTACGCTAAACCTATCCCGACCGATCCTTACACCAAGGCCAAGATGCAGGCGGGTGTGGCTCCTCTGCCTGCCGGAGAACAACCGCCCGCAGCTGGCCCCTCTGGTGCTCATAATATCCCCGGAGATAACAAGTATCAAGGGTATGCGCCGAATCGATATGGAAACCAAGGCGGTTATGGATCCGACCGCTTTGGTGGCGGGGGTGCTGCTGCCCCTGCCGCTTCTCGGTACGGCCCTGGCGGCTATGGAGGCCTAGGTAGCGCCGATCCCAATGACCCCGCGGCTGCGGATGGCAACAGAGATGAGCTTTTTGGAGGGGCTCGGGATCGGGCACAACAACAACAGCAGCAGGCCGGCCCTCCCCCGCCTTACTCCGAGGGCGGAGCTGCCTATGGCGGAGGCAGCAACGAGTACAACACCTCCACTTACCAGGAGCGTCACCTTACTGCTGAGGAGGAAGAGGAGGAAGAAATTCAGACCATCAAGCAGGACATCCGGTTCATCAAGCAGGGTGACGTCGCCTCAACTCGCAATGCACTCCGTGTGGCTGCCCAGGCCGAAGAGACGGGTCGTGAGACACTTGCTCGTTTGGGTGCGCAGGGAGAGCGTATCCATGATGCCGAGAAGAGTTTGGATGTCGCTACAGTCGAGGGACGGATCGCGGAGGAGAAGGCAAAGGAGTTGAAGACACTCAACAAGAGCATGTTCGCTGTTCATGTGTCCAACCCTTTCACCAGCTCCCGGCGCCGGCGAGAGCGTGATGAGCGGATCTTGAACACGCACCGCGCAGAGCGGGAAACTCGCGAGGGTACCGAGAAGGAGGCTTTCAAGACCAACCAACGGATGGAGCGCACATTCAGGGACATTGACAAGGAGGCGGCCAAGCAGACCACACGCAACAGGACCAACATCACTGATCGTGCCAAGTACCAATTCGAGGCGGACAGCGAGGATGAGGCGATGGAGAACGAGATCGAACAGAATCTGGATCTGCTTGGAGGAGCTGCGAGCCGTCTGAATGGCCTTGCTCGGGCGACAGGTCGCGAGCTGGACGAACAGAACCGTCATTTGGAGCGTATCACGGCCAAGGTAAGTCCTTTTGAGATCCTGTCACGAAGTCCAATCTCGACTGACTGCTTTGTAGAGCGACTTTGTCGACGACCAAATCGCCATGAACCGGGCCAAGCTGGACAGAATTCATTAGGCTTGCCCTTAGAACCATTACTGACCGCCTGGTGCCGTCGAATTTCTACTGTGCATATCACCACTTGCTACCATATCCTTGGCGTTTTGGGTATTATACTACATTATGCTTGCTATCGGCCTTTTGGCCATTGTGTTTCGCATACGGAGGAAGTAATAGTCGCGAATAGAGATGTCAACTCTTTTAAGTCATACCCAGGACTTTCCATATCGCTTAGACGTAATCTGGTGTGAATTCAGGTGTCTTCTGCATCCAATCCCGCAAATAATTGAAGGGGAGGTACTTTCTTCCTAGGGGCTCCGAAAACGCATAGCTTTCCAATTGTCAACTTCAAGCAATCCTACCGTACTACTACATATGTTTTTCCGGCATCGATCAGCCCAGTCCAACGATGTTGTCCTCCTCGACCGGCCACACGCCTAATAGCCGAAGCACAAGCGCCCACTACATTTTCAAGACCAATATGACACTCATGCCATGCCATGCCATGCCATGCCATACAAAGTACACTCTACACAGCAAGTCAGCCGACCCATCCCGTCCCAAATCCGTAGGTAATAACTATGAAGCAAAACATAAGCAGCCAACAGATCCTGAAACGCCAAATATATTATATCATATTACACTCCTCTCCGCTCATTAGACAGACACACAGTCTCATTATCAGTCCATGCCATCCCCACCCCCCACTCACACATACAGCAAGTAATCAAATCAGTAATTAAATCCGAATCTCACAAAAGTCACGGCTAAGGAAAATGAAATTCGGACAAAGAGAGAAGCTGACGTATACAACCCATGTACAAACAACCCGATCTAACTAGGAATGGTATGTCGACAGTAATCTAGTATGCCCCACTGCGCGTATGAGTAGTATGCTATGGCCTCGCGGAAACCGTTATTAATCTGCTACATAACAGTTGCATATTGGGCTGAAACACGGTGGGGACTGTGATCAAAGGAGGCAGATATGTTTTTATTTCCCATCATTAGTATTACTTTCACATATCTTCTTTTGGATATTGAGGGAATTTGATTTTTCTTCTTTTCCTGGTTATTTTTGTTTTCTTTCCGTGTGGAGTTGCCTTTTTAGCCGCGTGGAGATGGCATGATGTCATTTTCATTGTCTGTGGGTTGGAGCAGCTTTTCAGGTGCTCAATTATCATTTAATTCTTTATTTTTTGTTCAAATCATAATATTCAGAAAATGGGACCAAAAGAAAAAACCTTTAGGCTGGAAAGATTGTAACTGGTTATTACACGTTTGTGGTAAGTAATATGATGGTTGTAAGAGAGTTAGTATGAATGAAGTTGAAAGAGCTTCTTCGGCTTTTAGTGAGATGCTATGCTAAACCCGCAAGATACAGTATATGCCTCATGTATCTAAGAAGAAGTATACGATGCTGTGAGTGAGAGGTTTTCTGGAAATTTTCAGCAATACTTTATCTTGGAATGATTGAATTGGTTATCGGAGAGTACTAGTAGCCGTAGAATGTCCGTTGTAGTAGTTGATGTCCATTGATACGGTATATACCGTCTTGTTGGATTATGTATATTGAAGTGTATAGATTTATAGAACAGTTTATCATTCTTAGCAAACACTGGTTTGAATACCATTGACATCAGTTGTAGCACGATTGATGGGGTAGGAAATGTGCAGTAGCAGTAGAAGTAGGAGTTCAGTAGAAACAAGCGGCTTAAAATATATTGTCATGGACTATCAGCCCAATGCAACACCTAGTGTTCTGTTCACATCATGATGTTCGGTTCACTTATACTAAACAATTATTTTCTGTAGTAATTCATAAAATCTCGGCAGGAGCTTCATAGAAGAGCTATAACACCATATCGATTTATATTTTCTAAACCAAATGATTCGTTGTTGTGGCGATTCAGAGTCAATGGGTAGTAGAGCCCTGACTTCATTTGTACATAGAATGAAGCTAAAAATTCGATAAAGCACCAAAGCAACCATGTCTAGCCTCATTCAGAGTCGTTGACTTATCTAGAGTCATTTGAGAAGAAAAAAAGAAAAATAAAGACCGAATGTGAAAGAATATTGTGGCGAGATACAGCGAGAGCAGAAGCAGAGAGCTACACAGCCATCACGTGCCTCATCTTAGTCATCAATCTAGTCCCGCCGCCGAACTTCACCTCACGTCTTCTTGATATTTTCATCGCGAGACATCAGCGCATCACCCTCCACCCCCCCAAGGTCGCTGCTATTGTCCGTTTTTGATCCGAATGTAGCTGCTGTTACCCCTGCCTGGGAGTGTTCGTTCTCTTTCTCGTCTTTGGGATCACCACAACCGCCACCATGTCCGACGGTAGGTAGCCTCCAGATCGCGGACCTTGCTTCTGATGATAGGCTGACAACCCCTTCTAGCTGATTTCGAAGCCGTCCGGAAGCTCCAAGCTGAGCGGAACGCTGCTGCATCTGCGAAGAAAGGTTCTAGGACCTTTGATCCGTCTAGCCAGCGCACTGACAACTCGACCAAGGCCTCCCTGACTGAATCCTTCGATACGACCCTCTACGAACGCGAGGGCGCTGACAAATATGCGGGATACGACATGTCCATCGCTGTCAATGGCGAAGATGAAGAGATGGAGGATGCGGACGGAGGCCACCGTCTGGTGGGTCAATATACCGCGACAAGGAGCCAGATCGATGAATTTGCCCAAGGCAATGGTGTGGAAGAGGAGGACGTTCTCCTAGGACGCGAAAAGGCGGCCAGAATCGCTGACCGCGAGACGGACTATCAGAAGCGTCGCTTCAATCGTGGTCCGCTGACGCCTACACGCGCTGATCCGTTTGCCGCGAACGAACATGCAAACGTGGAAGGAGAGGGCCAGACCTACCGTGAGGTTATGGCTCTACGTGAGCTTGAGAAAGAAGAAGAGCGTGTTCAGAAGCTGATCGCAGAGAAGCAGGCCCGTGGAGAGGACGATGTTCAGGAGCATGAGGCCACCTTGAAGTCGGAGGACAAAGAAAACGCTGAAGCTGGCTCGACCGTTTCGGTCGCCACCGGTCGCAAGCGTAAACAACGGTGGGATGTGTCATCCGAGCCTACTGAGTCGGCTGAAGCTGAGGCCCCGCAGCCCGCAGACACCAAAGCCAAGAGATCTCGCTGGGATCAAACGCCTGCGCCTGCTGTTCCTGGCGCCGCCGCCGAGGAAGCTCCT